GGTTGGCAGATTTGATGGGTATTGGAATAGATATTATTACAGAAAGTTTCCATAAATTGGGGAAATATTCTGCCCTTAGCACAGAGTTGTATATATTGGTTAGAAATGATAGGCCGCTTCTAGGGACATTTTTTAAAATAATGGAGTTGATGCTATCAAGAACTGGTGATTTTCTTGCCGGAAAGTTTTAGATGGTATGATATACTTCTTGTAGAGTTATAAAAGAATTCTGTCTTGGTGTCAAAATTAAGAGCGCTATAAAATTCAATGATTTTATTACGAAAATTTTCCCGCATGTTGTGAGTTTGAAAAGTGGAATTAAAGCAGTCAGCGATCATTTAGGCTTTTTATTTGTGGTTTTGAGCTATCAGGTGAATATTTTTCAAAACTGGAATGACAGAATTGATCCTATCAACCTTCGTGTCGCTTTCCATAATGATGCGAGGAAGGGGATTTAAGTCAGCGACGTATTTTTGTATTTCTCGAGGTGGAATAAAGCCAAAGTGTTTCGGACAAGTCGTATTAAGTGATTGTTCTCTGATTTTAGGTGAGGTAATCTGTGTTTGATCCAGAAACGTTTTTTTAAATTTTTTCTTGTTATTAGTAACTTGGATGCTTTCAGGTAGCCGAGGATTGTTTTGAAGGGCAACTTGGCTGCGAAGTGCTAGGGGAAGAATTTTGCATGGAGTTAATTATAGCATTAGTCAAAACAAAGAAGGATTCGTCAATTTCCGATTGTGTTTTTAACTGGTTAATAGGGCGGAGAGAGGATGTGAGATATTGTTGAAACTTCTTCCTGTTAACGTTTTGAGTTAATAAATGTGGTCGACGATTTCCTGGCAGCAAAAATAACTGTATTGTGATCCGAATCTAGCTCTGATACGGAGAAGAGAACTAGTGGTATATTCGTGTTGGTGAGGGCAATGTCTAGAATATTTGGTTAGCAATTTGAGTTGTAAGAGCAGTGGGTGGTATCAACCGGTGCAATAACTTTTAAAATGTAATTTTGAAACATAGTATAAATATGTTCCATGAGAATTTGCCCCACAACCCCATGACGTATGTTTTGCATTGAGAACACCGAGCAAAACAAATTAATTATTTGAAGAGAAAAGTGTCCAAAAATATGACCTAACGAGGTATTTGTTCAGTGGTTTGTATGCCGAGGTAACAGTTAAGTTACCCACATGTGAGAAACCTTTGCTGATATTGTTGCTACTCCTGTCGTAATGGGCAAGAAGCTGGATTAGCTACTAATACTAGTTTTGATTAAGATAATAACTCCACCAGCTCGAGTGTCGTTAGGACGATGAACTCCGCAGCACTTATAACCTGGAATGCGTAATATTTTAGAAGAAACCAGATGGGTCTCAGTAATAGAAGCTATGTCTATATTATGAGATATTAAAAAGAGAATGAGAGCATGTCTTTTAGGCACGTTACCGTTGCTTTTTCAATTGAGAATCGTCAGATTATTAAGGCGACGTACGCTGTTCATTATTATAATTATTAGAAAATGATGATATTATAGAATTTTTTATGGAATTGATTATTGATCGCATGAAGGACTGGATGAAATTATTTATGAAATTGGTAATCTGCTGAGTTAAATAATTGACAAGATTGAAGTTGTTATTATTGTTCTTATTATTATAGTCTATATTTTTCTTGAAGGTAGGTATGGGTGTAGAATTCAGAGGATATGAATGAAGTATTTTGACTGAACTGGGAGATTTGAGAAGTTGATGAAAGAAAAGGAAAAGGATTGAGGTCTGAAGGTTGTTTTTTTATTTCATGAGTTGGATTTATATGTATTTCCCGAAATAGCTGATTAGGATTCTACGACTTAAATATAGTGAGTACATACATTAGAGTGTGCATTAGCTCTGTGTCCTTCTGCATTGCAATTCGAATGTTTTGGTATGAAATTACTCGCCACTTTACAATCTTTGGTATAATAATTTCTAGTACATATGGCACATATAATATTACGTGTGCAGTAGTTCTTTGTATGATAGTAACCCCGACATCGCGAACATTGATGGGGCCCGGTCGAGGTTTTCGGTCTTCCACACGCACTACTGCATGGCAAAGCCGATTTAGTTTATAAATGTCTTTCCAATTGATTTCTTTAATGAGTACTGCAACGACAGGTATTGGTAGAACTTTATTGTGAAGTCTTTTCATTTGAACCGAGGAATAATTTTGTTTTAGTTCATCTATAATATCACTTTCACATATTGATTGATGCACATCTTTTATAGCTGTTGACAGTTTTTTAGATGTAGGATTTGTGTACGTGTGATTTTGTTTTCCATTCTCATTTAAAGATGTAATTAACAGTCTGTAATTTTCTCTTGAATGAGTTTATACTTTTACTTTGTTATATTTACGTTCGGTGAAAAAAATTTCCTTTAGCCCTAATTTCATAAATACTGTAAATTCTTTCATATCAGTTACAAATATTGGAGGAACGTTAACTGGTGATTCTGTTTCATTGAAATCAGATTACGTTCCGAATCTATTTTGCACTGGCACTGAGTATACGTTTTCAGTTGCCATTGTTTTGACATGAATAGAAGAGTTTGTAGTTTGTCCATTTAATTGTTCATTAGAATTGGTGTCTACATTTTCTGCACTAGTTATTAAAGATAACTCATTCAACGAGGGGTGGATACTACAGGTCGCTGCACCTTGCGGCATTGCTTCGTTACCTTGTGCCTTGTTCCTCTTTCTTCTGACATTTCTTCCACTGACAAGAGTATTTGGGGTTGAGGTTGATGTAAGGCTGATGTAAACTCACATCAAATGGTAAAATACGTGCTGGATTGTTGGGATGAATCCATGCTTTCTTCAAGTGAGTCGTCAGTCAAGTCATTGCCGATACGGATGAAACCGATAAGTTGTATTGTTGAGCAAATTTTGTTATCGCCTGGGACGATAACAGTAGAGACACTGAATTTATATATACTAACTGAAATAATTTATAATATTGCTTAGTAATCGATGCAATAATGGTCCAACTAACACATCATAAGGCACATCAATTTCGTAGCACACTGCAAACGAGATTTTTGCACTAAAATTTCTTCGAAAATTCAGGTCTTTAAAAAGGTCAGATTGTTTTAAAAAAATGAATGGTTTGTGCTTGAAATCAATACAATTTATAAATGACATTTTCTCAAAAACCGCTTCAAGTTTTTTTATTTAAGTTTCCTCCTCGTTTGTATCAAAGGACGACAACAAAATGTGGTGCAAGTCTCATTACCGGCAAACCCTCTGTATTTTCGAAAGATGCAAAGAGTTAACATTTCGAAACTTCAAACGTGAAGATGAAGAATTTTTGCATTAAACAAAATCTATTCTAAAAAATCAACTCTTTCAGGAAGATAATGTACAATTTTTAAAGCAGTTTTCGTGGAATTTCTTCTTGAATTTAATGTTATTTAAAAAATGTTTTCTCAAAAGCCGCTCCCATTTTATTTTTTACGTTTTTCCATGGATAAAACATGGAACGCTTAAAAGAATGGCACATGTTGTATTTTCGTTAATCTCTCTTAATTATCGAAAATTACATGATCGATAAAATGTGTGAGGCAATTAGCTTAGGACCATTCAGGACAGATCTACTGCCTTGTGTAGCGGTAAGTCGGACGACGAATAAATTTGATGGATCTGAGTTCGATTCACGACTCGGAAAAAGACATTTGCTGGTTGAAAATACTTGCAGGTCCATGAAGTAGTCTAATTTTGCGGAGCCTTTACAAGTAATGCGAGAAATACTTGATGTAGCATCTCTTTTTCATAATGAAATACGAACCTTCCTTCATTAGACTGAATCACACGCATAAGCAATATGAAATTTACTCGTGTAATTGGATCGGGGATGTTTGGAAATAAACGAGCACTAAGAAGTTCAGTACACCATCAATGCCCTGGGCGATCAAAAACTAAGTTCTTTTTAGACGTCGAAAAGAAACTCTTAAAACGTCTTACTTCTTCTGACTTCATTAAGAGTTACCAGTGAAAACTTGAAGATCACTTCTTCATTGGAATTCATCACCAGAACATACCTCGAATTCGAATGTATTCCGAGAGAGCGATCGCGAAAAGAGTTTCCTAAAAGAGCCTCGGAGAACTAAAAAAGGAGTGATAGAAGACGGCTGGAAGAAATCCAACTGTTCGAGTTGTGCATTTGCAATGAAGATTAGCGCTATAATTCTGCTTTTATAATATGAAGAATGTTTTCTAGTGCACGTTCTTCAATTTATATTCATCGAACCTGTAATTTATCCTTTATGCCAGAAAAGGCCAACATTTTCAATTGCATTTGCTTCTGATACATTTGCACTATCAAGTCTCATCGTATAAATTCTTTAGATTAATTGCAATCCAATATTTCGAATTACACACTCTCTTGAACCCAAGGGTCAGAAGAGAGATTGTTCTTTGGAAAAAGTAATAAGTACTTCAAAACGTGTCATGCGGTTTCATAAAATAAAGAAGCATACAAGAAATTAAACACAAAAAAATCCCTTTTTCGTAAGTACTGCCCTAGTAACATTGGTAACCTGAACGAGAATAGGCTATGAACAATACGAGAGTTATTGATTGATTGATTAGTGATTCCGTTGGAGCTCTACAATCAACCGGGTATTTTCACCTGCGGAACACTGCCCCAGCGGGGAAATGATCTGAGCTCTCCCGACAAGTGTGATGGTGAAGTGCATGTGAGTGTGTGTGCACGTAAGGTGGTGAGGATGGGACAAGGAAGAGGAAGGAAATATCGCGTGTAGTCCGTGACCTGTTGGTTACGCTACTGCTCCGGCTGATGCTGATCAGAGAAACCCCAGAAAACTACCGATTAAATGCCGCTAGAATTCTCCCCCAGCCAGCGGCACAATTCGACCTAGCCGTCGAGCTTGTATCAAACTCGTGCCACCGGCGGGGCGCGTGGCGGTGATCAAGCGTGTGTGAAGCGTACTAGCTCGTGCACTTACGTGTGCGGGTCGGACGACGGCGTGGGAGGAGGCGGGCGGCGCGGCGGCAGCGGCGGCGGTGGCGGCGGCGGTGGCGGCGGCGGGCGCAGAGCACAGCGTAGGCGCCCGCGCCGGCCGCACCATCGTGCGCCGAAAGCACGAGCCGTCCGGCAGATCAGCGTACTCCTCTGCAACACCACATCCACCTCCTTCAGTAGGGCCACCCACCACAACACCGCGTAATCGTCATCATTGCATCTCTTGTCCGCCCTATTTTGGAAGACGAATTGACTTGTTGGAATCTACTCGTACACTGATTTACTCTATGAAGCAAAAATATATAGAATTCAAAACAAAGGTTTCAGGTTTACGTACAGGGAAAATGCCTGAAGATAGGCAGGTGAACCGCTCAAACATTAAAAATGAAAGTGATGCTTTCTGCTCGTATAAATCGTAGATCATCAAATTCAGAAAAGATTTAAGAAACCAACGAAATGGCGCAGCTCCAGTTGATTCCATAATAATCCGCTTGATGTCGTTAGGTTCGCACAGATCTGATTTCCCGATTGTTAATATCTTAATTTGTTTATTAGCTACGTGATTTTTTGTGAAGTATGTTTTTTTTCTTTTGGCGCATTTGAAAATTCAAGACCTGAAAGAAAGACTTGCTGTGAAGAGAAGTACAATGTAATACATTGACGTGTGTCGTCGTTTAGTGTACTGCTATCCTGTTTAGTATTTAATTTCATTATTATCGTCGTCGTCGGCGTCGTCATATTGATTTTAACTTGTTTTGTAAATGCTGTAACATTGTTATACTCAATTCCAGTGATATATGAATTATTTTCTTAAATAATAGCTTATTTTGGCGCCTCCAGCGGGAGTTTTCATGATAAATTAGAACCTTCCACGTTAATAACAAAAATAAATTTTAAACATAATTCTATTGATTCGCTAAATAACTATCTTCAAGCTACCCTAATTACCTTAGAAAAACAATAATCATTTCTGAAGAAGTTGGATAAGAAAATATTTTTGAAACGTTTAGATATATAAAAACCATGTAATTCAGGTGTTATCATTATTATTTCTTTCCTGTATACGTACATATATACGAAGTAATATACGTAGTATACGAAAAGTAACCTAATGTTGCGGAAAATCGATTTCGAGATTTCAACGGAAATACGTGTTGGGGACCCATGATACATTAAAAAGTGTTTTTTTTTTCTTCTTTTCTTTTCTTTTTTTTCAAAACGTACTTCTATCTACCAGTCCGCCTGAGAACACCACTAGCGCCTAAACCATACGTAGATTTTTTTCCAAATTGAAGACACCCCTGTCTATCTGGCTCGAGTCCAAGCTTTGAGATTTTGAAAAAAAATTCATTACAGTTTGCGAGTGCTTTACATGAAGCCCCCGGACATTTCCAAAATTTTCATAAAAAGGCTCCAATATTTTTCTTTAAACATTGGTGGAGTTAATGCTAAATATACTCTATAAAATAATATAAACGCCATATTGCTCTATTCTGTTTGTTTGTTTTTAAAAAAAACTAAAATGTATTTTTTTGACTTGTCTCTCAAGTTGTTATATTTATACAAGCGAAAATTTGTTCACATTATTGTATTTATGAGTACATGTGCTGTAAATAATGTCATAAAAAGTTTCTCAACAGTTTTCTTTAAAAACTAGATCCAAATTCCGTTTTTCAGAAACTCTCAAACGCAGTTTTCTCATAATTCAGCCCCACATTCTTGCTTCAAATTTCAATCGGATACTGCTAATTGCACTCTTTCATATGAAGTATTAAGTAAGTTGATTTAGGGGTATTTTTTTGTTTTTTCGAATATTTCAAATATGTAATTTTCAAAGATCTCTTGCCGTTTTTATGCAAAATTCAAGGAATTTGTATACACTTTCGGTTTTGTGAGTTCATGTGCTTCAAATGACTTTAAATCAGTCAGAGAGTCAGTCTGACAGTCAGTGAGTGAGTCAATGAGACAATGAGTCAGTGAGTCAATCAGTGAGTCAGTCATTGAGTCAGGCAGGCAGGCGGTCAGTGGGTCACACTGGCAAGAGGCGGTCAGTCAGTCCGTCTGTCTAGCGGTCAGTCGGTCAGACTGGCAAGAGGCGGTCAGTCAGTCCGTCCGTCTAGCGGACCGTCGTTCCGTCGGTCAGTCAGTCCTTCCGTCCGTCTGTCGGTCAGTTCGTACGGCCATCGGCCTGTCCCTCTGTCGCCTGTCCCTCTGTCGGTCTGTCCCTCTGTCGGCCTGTCCGTCTTTCTGAGGGTGACGCTAACGTTTAAACCTTTCTGACGATTTTCTCCATAACTAATTTTTGCCAATTGATCTGAACGTACTAAAGACTGTGAAATTGAAAACGGTACAAATGGGAAAAAATAGTTATTAGCTCATGAAAAATAATGACACTCGTTCTTCGTGTTAAAAATATAGCATTTGCACACAATGGAACATTTTAGGGATTTGTAATACAAATAATACGTGTAGTCTGCTGAGTAACTGCAATTATGCAAGTATTGATAGTAAAACTTGTTTTATGCTAAAATTGATAAAAAACAAACATATGAATTATATTTTGATATTAACAATCGTAATAGCGGTGTGAGTTAACATTTATATTGGCAATTCTATAACTTCACAATTATTGTAAAGTTCTTTTTGGTCAGAGAGCACCATCTCGATCGAGTTTTACGTCCCGATACCCTTGGTTTATCAAGTAAATATTAAGATTATCCCTTGCTTTGAATAAGTCACTAAATGTTGCTCCACCCCAACGTATTCCGCACTAACCGGTTTTGTAAAGTGCAGTATTTTAATTTTTTCGTCTTAAAAATAAAACACAATTTAATTCATACCAGTAGAAGTACGAATGCGGCATCACATATTCTAGTTTTCGCTAATGTTGAAAAATGCGTGCAAGTATTGCTGGAGTTCGATTCAAATTCAAATTAATCCAAAAGGGTAACGCAAGAGATACTTTAAGAAATAGAAAGTGCTATTTCTGATATTTGAAGACTTCATTACAAATATCCTGAAATGCTTGAACTAATAATAACCTTTACAAAACAAAAACATCGAAGTTGGATTCCCTAGTCAATGACCTCTAGCGCTGGAGCCTGTTGCAGCAGACCGCAAGCAAGGCAAGGCAGCCGCTATAAATAGAGGGCGTGGGGAACTCGGGCACCCGGAAGTTTCGCTTAGAGCAACAAAAATCTCCCGGAGCGCCGTGCTGTTCTAATATTCTCCCCAACAATTACGAAACATCATCGTTTACATTCAAATCACTATAGAGCATTTCAGTAAAACTAGTGTGCGGTCGTGCAGATGTGTGTTTTTGCCATTCAGTCACCGGCGTCTAGATTACTTCCCGTTCACCAGTCAAGACGTATGAGGTGTCATTCGATGCGACTCCGTCTCCTAATGGAGAACTGATAATTTGTTTTCGGATTCCGCTAAAATATTTAAAGAAAAAATATAGAGCCATGAAAATAGCATACTAATGAAGCTTATTTCTGCCATCAAATCTTTGTGAAATAGTGCAGTATGAATTTACAATACCACTCATTTCTATCATTTTCAGTTAGGATTTTCAAATCATTTCTTACCATTTGCAAATCTATTGGGTCTGGAAAGTTAATAACAATTAATAAGAAATCTAAAACTGTGTGCATGAAAAATAATGAAAGAAATTCGAAAGTGCTATGGCATGTTTTACAGATTGTTTATTACATTCGCCTTCATTAATACGTTATTATAGCAAATGAAACTATGTCATAATATGTAAATATTATATTGTGAAAATACAGTGAATTAAATGCATAACACTCTGAAGTCATCGAGAAATTGTTACATTTTCCTCATACTAATGTTGAAGTCATATGCCATCAGAAACCTAAGTCCTTCATTAATGTTGTTGCCACTAAGTTACACGAGGGAAGGTATCCGACAGGAAAACTATCGAGAAAACTGTAGTACCCGAAGGTATTTAATTATGTATGTATGTATGCATGCATGTATGTATGTGTATCTCTCTCTCTCTCTCTCTCTCTCTCTCTCTCTCTATATATATATATATATATATATATATATATATATATATATCATGGTTGTGTGTGGTAAGTTGTGTGTGTGTGTGTGTGTGTGTGTGTGTGTGTGTGTGTGTGTGTGCGCGTGTATGTATCATTTATGTATTTCTTGAATGTATTTCATGCATGTATATCCGTGCGAAGTACAGACTAATATATAATTATTAAACATTTTGAACGCTTAAATGTTAATGAGATTTGCAAACAAAAGCGAATAGTGGAAATTGCACATTCCAATAAATCTTTTTAATTTGTTTGCTAGAGAGAAAGGTGCCATTGCTTTACATATAGCACTTAAATTGAAGGGAGATGTATGTGATAGTTACGGATTTTCCTGAGAAACTTCTTAAAATCAAGAAATAAATAACTGTTCGTTGCAGGATGCCTGCAAAACGGTGAATTTCTACGAAAAAAAATCAACAGTCGCAATATATTTATTAGCTAAACTACAGTGTTAAGCAGAGGTTAAAATTCCGCCGTAAGTGACACAACCTCGGCAACAAAATCGTCGTAGGGCTTCGCACTTGCAAACTACTTCGCTCTCAACGAAGTTGCAATTCGCCGCCACACGCAGCGCAGGAGCTGCTGGAGGCGCCGATAAGGCGAGGTCGTTTAGCAGCACCTTCCCGCGCCTTCTGGCCGCCACCCCCACCACCCCCGCCGCGGAGCGCCCCGCCCTCGCGATAGTCTTATCACGGCCGCCTGCAGCGGAAGTTCCGCTCGTAAATTTGCAGGCAAGAAAGCATTTTTCGCCACAACGTCAAGTGGCGCGGGCAGAAACGCGCTCTCCGGCACGGGTGCAGAAACAGCCCATCGCCAACCCAGCTTATTGCAATGCGTCCTCGGCATGGTTTTCTTACGAATTTCTGGCCCTTATTCCTTATTCTGCAGGCATCACTACTACTGATGTTATCTGTGACAGGCGGCACCTAAGATTCTGATACGTCGAAATCGTAATTTCAAACGACGTAAAGACAAATGTTCTCTTAAAAATGAGGTCTGGTCGGGGCGTATCGTCGAATAAATAGAAGAAATTGAATTGTTGAAAATTCACCTAAATCATGCCTTGCGCACGAGACTTGACTTAAGATCTTTGAATTCAATGAATATAACATGTATGTTTTATTAAAAACCAATACATTAAATTCACTCAACAACTAAACAACTAAAATGGTATGGACATATGAGAAGGTTAAAATCGGATAGACTTCCACGAAAAGTTTGGAAGTGGATACCAAATCGAAGAAGATACAGGGGAAGACCGAGAAGAACATGGAACATGGCAATAACTGAATCCATGGAAAAAAGAGAAATGGAGGAAAACGATCTATGGGATAAAGAGGCATGGAAATTGAAATACGGAAAACGGCCCAGGACAGTGAAAAAACTTCTAAATAGATAGACATTGAATGCAAAGATTTTATATTTCTCATCTCTTATAAGAGAAGATAAATTTGGTGAGGATCATTTCTAATATCACGAAGTTAATTACTTTACGTAAAAAACTGCGTCTCTTTGCAGCGAGGAAAAAAGATTAATTAAGTTTCGAATCATATCATGTACAAAATGTCCGTTCATGTCACAAATCATGTTCCGTTGCATGTCTGGCATCATCAACAATTTTACAATAGAGACATAAACTTTTAGGATTCAACTTCAACTAAAAAATAAACATCAGAATCATATTTTGTGTCTGAATTTTTTAAAGCTTTCACCAGCTAAATCATCACACTGATCATCTTTCACAACATCTGCCTTTTCTTCCTTAAATCAATAATCGTGTCTTAGTGAAATACCTATTCTTAAAACATTTATGTCCAGCTTCTTACTTTTTTTGAGAATATATTCTACGAATGTGTAGATTTCATAATAATAATTTCCAAAGATTTCTATTCAATCTAAAAATTTAAGTTATCTCTTTTGTGAGCTCTAACATTTAGGGAACAATCCAGGATATATTTTTAGTGCTCTCCAATACGGCGCTAACGTCGCGTTCTCTCCCGATTGGTGGCACGATTCCGCAGTAAAGAGAACGTGTTTCCTACCGTGGAGGCTGTACCGCGAATATTAACTTCCAAATCCAGCATGCGGATGCAATCTGGAAAACACAATTTTAGAATTATGTACAACAGTTACTGCATTTTTATCAAATCCTCTAATATTTCTTTGAAGAACATATCTCACGAAGTGTTGCATCGAAAGTTGACGCATTCTTGCTCCGCAATTTGAGCAAAAAATTGGGAAAGGGGATTCAAAACGTGGCACTACTGGCATCGCGAAATTCATTTCCTTTTCCACATTTAAAAACACTACAAATACGTTCGATTTATAGGAGCTGTAAGTGACCTCCATTTACTTCCCTACTAGATTACAACGACGGATTATCAATTGCCTCATTGCGGTAATGCCATAAATCGCTTGCACCAGAGCCACAATTTTCGAGTAATGAAGCCTTGCATAAATAAGTGTTCGCATATGAATTCAGAAAAGAAACCTAAGCAGGTAATATCTGGTGATTGCAGTGGACGCGCAATGGGCCCTGCCCTTCCAATTCACCTGTCACGAAAATCTCGTTAAGAAAATTTCGCACAGCGCGCGCGGTTATGAGCAGAACCTCCGTCATTCGGAAGCCACATACGCGCCCTCACCCTCAAGGGAACATCTTCAGTAAGTATTGGTAAAGTTTGTTGCAAAATTTGGAGGGTAGAGTTACCGTTTAACTAAGGCATTATAGTAGTATGCACGACTATAAGCTCTTAGACAGCCTGAAACGATGTAACTATTGCTTTGAACAATTTCTATTATTAAATTAAATTTTTTATACATTGACAAGGTCTCAATATGGAAGGCGTTTATTCTCCAGACCATATTTCTAACGCAATTTCCTTTGTAACAAGATGATAATCGAGTATTTTTTTAAATAAAACATGATTAAATGAAATAAGATTTGTTGCCGAAAATAAAGTTTGTTGCTTAAAATAAGGTTTGTTGCTTAAAATAAGGTTTGTTGCTTAAAATAAGGTTGTTGCTTAATATAAGATTTGTTGCTTAATATAGGGTTTGTTGCTTAAAATAAGGTTTGTTGCTCAAAGAAAGGGTAGTTGCTTAATGTAAGTTTTGTTGCTTAAAGTAAGATTTGTTGCTTAAAGTAGGGTTTGTGTCTTAAAATACGGTTTGTTGCTTAAAGTAAGGTTTTGGGTTAAAATAAGGTTTTTGGTTAAAACAAGTTCTTTGGAACAAAATTATTTTTTCGGGATAGATAAAGATAAATATTTTTTCGTTGAAGTAAGGTTTTGTTCACTAAAGGAAATATTATGAAAATGTGGTTGAAATATAAATGCCTCTGGGAAAGATGAAATAAGTGCAGTATTTGAAATGTGGAAGAAGCAGCCAGTAAAGACAGCAGGTTCGACGGGAATTAATAAAATGGGATAACATATGTGTAGTCGAAACCTGGATCGAAGGAAATTACACGGATAAATTGATATGTAACCGACTACCTGGATATGAGTTTAGAATATAAGGTATACAAGAATTCCGAATGTTTCAAGAAAAACAAAAGGATTCATCATTTCGAAAGTTACAAAAGAGTTGCATGTTTATCCTAAGGTTGACCGCTGAAGTTATAAAGAATAGGTGATCATTGAACAGGGGCGGCTCCAGAAACAATTTTGAGGGGGGGGGGAATAAAATTCTTGAAGGGGATGTGAACGGGCTGGGGAAAGGGACTATGGATAAATTTAATGAACGAAAAAACAATACATTTTTGATTTTTTTTAAATTTCCATCACACAATGAAAGACAAGAAATATAATTATTTAAACAGAAACATAATATGTGTATATAAAATTATAGTTAGCCGGCCTGAATAGCCGAGGTCCTTAAGGCTAGAGGGCCGTAGTTGCCTCGGGTCGAAGACAGCTACAGCTATGGTTCTATTCCGCCTCGGGCATGGATGTTTGTGCGTGTTCGTCTCGTCCTTACGTGACCTTCCAACAATTCCCCTACAGTTTAAGCAATTCCAGTGGTCGCTAAGTCCAAGTTTTTAAAAATATAACTAAATAAATAAAAAATAATTTATAATTTTTTGCTATTAGGGATAAATTTATTGATATTTGACTAACACCTAATCATGGAATAGGTTTTGTGCACTGCATAATGAAGGTGGATGGGAGGGAACTTATTTGGAATTCAAAAAATCGTCAGCAGGTAGCTCTGGACATGCTGCAAGAAAACATTTCTCAAGTGTCACCGATCCCGAGCTGTGTCCGCAGACAGCCGCCACTTGCTAATCCCTTGTTGCAAGTTTCACAATTCCAAAGCATTGAACTTACGGAAACACCATATTTGGCTACACTGTAATGGGACACAGTTCTCAAACGCCCCTAACAAATAATAGAAACACGGAACATGAAATTCTGGGCTTTTTGAATTCTGAAATCGGAGAATAACGTGGCGAACAACTACTTCTCCAACATCAAATTCTATATAAAAGGAAAGGAAAGATGCGTGTGTTATTTGGGAGGGCAGTCCCCCTTGAATCTCCCTGCCGTAGCCACCACTCCCATTGAATAGAAATATTATGATTGAGAAGATGGAGTTGGAGAATAAATAAATTAAAGAAAGACCATGGGCGAAATAAATTTTGAATACATGAAGGTGAACGAGAATAGGTATGGACATTGGAACTTTTACGAAAGTAGCAGAAAGAAAATCTACATCGAAGATTTGGAAGCAATAGCTAATATTCTCGGTATATAAAGGAGAATGTAAGAAGCAGGAAATTACAGACGGTCACTTTAACATCTTTCTAAAATATTTTACGATAATAATAAAAACCAGAATAGAGGAAGAAACTAATAAAAGAGTAATCCTACCACACTCTCAAGTGGAGTTCAGAAAGGGGGGTGATGAGGGAAAACATATTTTTACATTATTACTTGGAAGGAGTTAAGCAAAGGGAAGGAAAGGGGCTTGACCTGGAAGGGGCTTTCAATCTCGTAAATAAAAGGAAATTCTAGAAGGCAATGGTAAAAGTGAAAAGAAACAAAGGGATAATGCCGGTAAGTTAATCTCTGTAAGAAGAAATTAGTTATAGGATCAAAGTGGGAGGGTGGGTTCATGTTAAACAATAGATGAAGTTAGAATACATGGAAGGTAAATTACAAGGTTGGCCATTAAGTTTCATTTTATTTGACTAAAACACAACGGGAGTGGAAGAATGGATTAGAAGATAGGAGCAAGGTGAAATGGTGGGAAAGAAGAAAATATGGGTTTTGTCGTTTGCTAATTACTATAGGGGTGGATTTTAATGAAATTTCATTTTCTTTCTTTTCACTTTAGATCAATGTCTTTTAGTATAGTAATTAATTCTGTTATGAACAAACCAAATGACCCAATTTTATCCGGCAGTTTTTGCATTTTTCGTCGATAAATAAGTCTACTAATAAGTCATTTTTGCCTTTTCCCGTCATTTTTAAACCATTTTTCGCTGATTTCATCGATTATTTATATCATTTATTGGTACTTGCTAAAAACATTTTCGAGATGCAACGAATCTTCTCCACAGAATTATTTAGCTTATTCGATTTCGTCGCTCAGTAATTGCAATGTCAGCCGTTGTGAGTATGTAATCTAAGGTTACTGTGACGCCTATCAGCGTCATTGTCGGTTCGGCCGATTTCGGGATAACTAAAGACAAGAGATTTCGTGATAAAGAACGATCCAAACCAAAAGTTTCAAGATGAGTTCACTTGAACCAATGGAAGAAGCGTCGATTATGTCAGTAATATAACCAACAGCTTGAGTTGTTCATCTGACCTGGTTTTTCTAAGAAAAAACGAACGAAAATTCGATCATGTTCAAAATGAAGATATCGAATAGCATTCCCGGGGGATTATTCTTGAAACTGTTGCGCGATGCGATTCTCGCATAATCGCTAGATGCTGTCTCTGTCTGATATGCGTAGAAAGAAAGAGACAGCGGAAGGTGATAACACGAGAATCGCAAGACCAATTTTCATGTTCTGCTCTTTATCTTTCTAATCAAGGAGGAAAGGACAGAATTCTGATGAAATATAAAAAGCTTTAAATTTTAAGTTGAAAATTCTATTTATTTTGTAAAAAAATTGAAAATGTTTTGAAATTGAAAAAAAGGAGATAACCGGGTCTAAAACCGGAGAGGTGGCAACCCTACATCAAAATCAGGCCCTACTATTACATGTCAGTATAGTTTTTTTCTCATGAAGTAATGGAACATAACGTTTGCGACGAGACGATTCATGTTTCTAAGAACGCACGCAATGTAGGGTTGTAATTTAAACAGTGGAATGCCAGCATAAGTAAAAGCCTCACATAGGTCCATATAAAAGATAGAAAACTGGGGGAAAGTTGAACTAGTTGTTTCATTTTGAGTATTTACTTTTGGCATCAACTATTTACCAATTTTTTAGTGAAACATTTTTTACGTATTTTGCTCTCTTTCAAATGTCGCTTGGAAATAGGTATTTGCACTAACACTTCTTTTCACACGCAACACAAAGTAATACTATCCCATCAGTAGTTTGCACACCTTCATTTTCACCCAAGTACAAACTGAGCTGAGTAGATAATATTATTTTCATTGATGCTATTTTTTGCTAAAAAGCGAGCGTCTTTCTTTAACTCCAGTTCCATGTACGAATCAAGATACATCGTATGCGTATCGAGACCGAAAAGTAACCACTGAGCACTTCACGTTCACAGTCAAAACTGAACTGTAATGCAGATGCTACAATTAGCTTCAAACAAACTCTCCATCTGTCCACCCCTATTGCTCGCCCACAGTGGTCCGCACAAGAGCACAGTTTCGCATGCCATCAAGGTCTCGCCGATCAGTCTGGAGAGCCTTTTCATCCTGGGAAAATTTCCAGGCCTAAATTTCAATATCTTACATTACAATCAGTTCCTAATGAAAAGTAACTATTGTAATTAACTTCTTATTTATTATTGTTTGATTAATAATGTTATTACTAATAATGTAAAAATAGTAACTATATCAATAAGGTAATTAATAATAATTGTATTTTTGTATACATTTTTTTGTGAAAATAGAAAAATATGTATCATTCTAACGATATGCTCTAAAAATTATTCAATTATAAAAGCTCCCAAAATATGTACAAATATGCACTGAAAAATTGCATTTCTCTCCGGAGATGGATTGTTCGGTGGACATATTGCAATTTGCATATATTTCAAAGTAACAGAAAAAAGTTGTTATTACGTAACTATCCTAGCGCTAGTTATAACATGCCATGAATTTGCTCGTGAACGTAGAAGCCTTTAGTCACGAAGAGAGGGACCAACAACCAGGCCACGTAGAGTGTGACTGTGAAAGCAGAGGGTACTGGAGGAGGAAAATGAAAGGTCGTGGTGCACAGAGCGAGTACGCGAAAAACCAAAAGATCGCTGAGTAAGGTCGCTAGTGTCAACGCAGGGAAACAAATTGATAGTCTTCGCTATGAACATTGTCATTGTCCGCTGCCGTGTATATTGCCAACACCAAATGAAGAGCAGGGAAGGGTTGCAAACAGCTGGCAAATGGTGTTTCAAAATGTCCTTCCCTCTTCCTCAGTCATGCGTTTCACCACGTAAAATTTACCTCAATTTCGATTTATTAGGTTGTTTTTTTGTGTCATGCTGTATTTAATATGTTGATATATACTATAGATTGCAAATACACAGTTGTGTCAGAGGAATGTCTGATTTAGAAAGTGATCGATAACTTCGTATATGCTTTCTTAGGCTTCCGCGGCCGGAGTCAATACCTCCTTGGATATCCGGGATGAGCCGCGTCTCGGTCAGTTGGGCTACGTTTCGGCCATCTTACTGTGGCCTTCTTCAGATCTACACTCTGAAGGTACGGCAAGATGGTCGAAAGGTCAACACAATTGCCCGTGACGCGACTCATCCTGAATAGCCAAGAAGGTAGCGATAACTTTGTATTTTGCAGCAAATCGAAGCTAATTTCTCAATGTTTCTCTCTTCGTCATTTATCAACTAGCCAGATTTCGTTGTTGATCCTGGAATTATTTTGTATACACGGTTAGTCAATAAAAACATCCTTCTTGAATATTCTGTAAAGAATTCGAGATATTGAGATGGAACATTCACCAAATAATTCAGATTGTAAGGGCTCATCAGTTGTAGTTATATTTCAGACAGCTTTTTTTTATTTTAAAGAAACTGGGCTAACTTCCATGTTTTAAATGGAACTCTATTCTTTTTACACGATTAGATAGATATTGAAAAGACAAATGCATCAATATCACTTATGTTGGTATTTAAAGAATAATTATGCATCAAAAGGTACGAAAACAAGGAACGCGTCACAAGGAAAAGACGTACTAGGAAGTTCGCGGCGCCGGACGTAGAGACGTCCAACCCGCAAGGAGTGAGTGCAGCGAGCAGATCAGTCGAATTCCCTTTTCAAGGAACGTCCCAGCGACGTCTTCGTGCATTACAATCACTCGCGGTACTGAGTTCACATAACGTCCAAAAGAATCAATTGAAGTAACAAGGAAATATCCTGTATGTTCTCGTTAGCAGCATCGTTCATCAGGTAAATTAAAACATCATTTATTTTAAAAGGGGCATCGTTAGCGTAGCGTGATAGCGTAAGTCTTGGGAAATACACTCTACAGTAAACATAATGTCGCTACTTTCTTAAAATAATAGTGCAATTTGCTCGGTGAGCCCTTTGTCTCTGCTTGAAACGTCTTCTTTAGATCTCCGACACGGCGCAAAACTTTAGAAATACTTTTATCTTCTTCATTGTGAAAATCGTACTATTCCCGAGCAAGGGCATATTCAGCCGAGTTGCGAATCCTTAAGTAATAGAGATTTTGACTCTGATTATTTTTTAAATGAAACTAATGAATTTTCACCAGTATGAACTCGTGACTTTCCCTTGACTCATTAATAAAACGAAATACCTTCTACTGAATTGACCCTTTCTATAACAACAGAAATGGGTCGCAAATTTCGAAAGATTTCAATGACAACTGCCTGCAGAAACGCCGTCGCCTCGTAGAGCCACAAATCTCTGCTCTGTACACTCTAGGCCATTCTTCACTCGATGCGACGAGTGTATTTGCCACGATTTCATTTAGTCATTTAAAGGTCACAACACATGCTAGACATCTTTATCCGTGTCATTTGAACCGGCAAACCAAAAAGACATGGGAACATCGAGATATATATTTATTTTATGTCGCATCAACCACTGAAACATTTTATAATCCAGCCGCACTACGTACTTATAAACCTGCGAGTATAATGCCGGTCTTTAAAACTCACTAGTTTTATAATTATTTATCAAATACCAACACATGCATTACTGAATTTCTCTAAAAGTGTAGTGATCAATTTAAAAAACGAATTTGGTCCCACATCTTTTTAATAAAAAAATTCTACCGAAAATATAATTAGTACAACTGACTAGCCTCTATGTCCTGAATCATTTGATGAAAATTTCATCTCTATATCATGAACCGTTCAGAAAATTTTCCAAGTGGACATTTTTATTGACTAATCTAATATTCGAATAAAGTGCCGACATTAAGCATGTTCATCACGAATAAAAATAAAAGAATTTTTTTAATCCAGTTTACTTCGTTACGGTACAGACGTTTGTAGAAGAATTATTAAGTTTTACGCTGTCGAAAGGTTCGTGCTTATGATGAATCAAAGCAGTAATCATACCGGTATATATCACCAGAGAAAATGTTTATTTTGTTTAGATACAAAGAACGAAACGCGCAAATATGTGAATTGAAGAATGCGGTACGTGGCTAACCATCGACCTTCATTGAACTGCAACACGAGAAAATGTTCTTAACGTCTCCAGCAACCAAAGTGCAGAAGCTGTAAAAGGTCTTTCCGAGTTTCGGAAATGATCTGCCGAATCAACAATTTGGTATGAGAGTCTCGGTAAACTGAATTTTTAAAACTGTTGTTTAATGAGATTCAGAATATGATGAAATTCGAAAATGATACAAGACACATTCTACGTGCCAAGCCTCTGAGATTGAAAAATAAAAAAAAACTATTGGTGTACTAAGAGAAAAATAATGTATCGTTTTTATTATGCCTCAAGTACAATTAACTCATCCTGTACGTGTAAATTCTTGTACAAGCCGTTTCTAAAATATGTTTGCTATCAATAAAGTTTTTACAGTGTCACTATACGTAAAGAAGTTAGCAAGTTTGCATAAACGGACTTTCAAAAAGATTCCCATAAATAGGAATCGATTCTGTAAAATAAATTGAAATCACAGAGTTTGAATGTCACAAACATGGAGTATTTGATAAATGTGTATTATACGCGCGATATGAAAAGGGGATACTGTCGAACAAAAGCTTAAAGGAATAGCAGTGCACCGAATGTACAATATGTCGCAGAACATACAAGTGCTTATATGATATTCGGCCACCGCCATCTCACAAAGTGGGAAAACTGCTCATATCACAATATTGAGAAATTGGTACGAGCACTGACGGTTTTTCGTTTGTTTTATTTTTCGCACGAGTACTCGAGATACTGAAGAATGTCTCCTGAACGTCCAATGCTCATATTTTCGTAATGAATTTTATGAAGAGGGAGAGAACATTGAAATTTCAGATGCACCTTCTCTCCTGGCCACGCTTACCTGATGAAGGTTATCAAGAAAACAGAGCCCGAGTAAACAGCATGTTTTTCGTCTGCCCTTTGCATATTCCCATACATATCTTTCTACCTGTATTACATAGCGGTTGTGCATTACGTTTGGTCGCCGTTGTGGTACTTGGATGTCACTCATGCAAAATTCGGAATTTGTAAATAATTATAAACTTTATATGAACTTTTTCGTCGGCATTTGAATCACTCAAACTTGTGATGGTGCAGAAAGGAGCCCTTTTCAGAGCATGTACACACAATACTCAAGGCGAAGAATGACAAAAATTACGAATTTATCGCTTCCCTACTTGAATACTTGAAAATTCGAACAGGCGTTTGTTCGCTCGCTTTTTATTTGATATTGCTGAGGAACTAAACTACAGGAAAAATCTCATATTTCTGTAACAGTAACTGACAAGACAAAAAAAAAGCCAGGCTATGCCGACGAGGGAGTTGGCGAGGGGAGCAGAGCCGACGGCGGCCACGTGACCCGGCGCGGAGGCCTTTACCTGGCGGCGGGAGCGGCGGCGCGGACGCGGCGCGCGGCACCGTGCGGCTGGGGGGCGGCGGCCCGCGCGCCAGCGTCGCCGTCACCGATCAGCCCGTTCAAGCGTCAAACGTGCGCGTGGCCAAAGCCCATGCTGCGGCGTGGCCGCCACCCACGAAGGAATTCGGTCGGTTCGAGAGAGCGCGCCCGGCGCCCACGCCCCGCGTCGCGCCGTGCACCACGCACGACGGCGACCCGCGGGACTGGCCGCTCAAAGCGGCCCGCCGCCGCCGCACCTTGGCGCCAGAGAGCCGCGGCGGCCGGCGCCGGCGCCGCCGCCCCGTGCGACGCAAGCGCTGCGCGGCCCCGCGTGCTCCCTCGCTCGCTTGCCCAACTCCCCACGGGTACGTGGACACATCGAATCGCGGGGGGCGCTGATCGTCTGAGAACTATTAGTCCCTCCCGATCTCCTCTTGCCTCCAACTGATGAGTCAAACGAAACAGCTAAGGGCCCTGCTCACCAGCGTTCCGTTGACGCGCGTGAAGTCACGCGCGACGTTGAATAACACTATCTCATGCAAAACAGAACACGAGCGTTTTGGCCGTTCCGTTAATCTACGACGCGCGTTACTTTTCGCGCGACATCGCAACGCTCGTGTGTCACAGGCCTAAGGAATTAAAGTAAAAATTCTGTAACAAGTTTTTCCCATTATGCAAAGGCTACATTAACGAATTTCTTTATTATAATCTATAAATCAATCAATACTCATCAAATATCGCACGTAAAGGAATCGACGCACTAACGAGGGAACGAATACGCGCACCCGCGAATGAAATGGCATAATAACCAGTTAACTTCGCTATGTCTAGACGAGCCTGCCTAAGTTTGTGACGAGCCTCCAGCCCTTGGCCTTATCGATTAATCTTATGTAAAAGAATCTTTAGTCTCCACAATTCATACTTTCCAATGCATTTTATACCAAAATACTTTGTTGTCAGACAGTTTCTTAGGAAATTAGAAACACTAGAGGAGCAACAACAACATATACTTTCTCTCTTTATCGGTAACGGTTACTTAATATTACAACACTACTTGAATCCGTAAAAATGCTTACAATTCGAAACTAATGGTGCTACACATTTTATGGGGGATTCGCGCTGGAATTTGAACTCTGTCTTTAGAGAAAACACGCCACGTAATTTACACCTACACCAGGCCTGCGCAGCATTTTGCGCTTTGTCTGACCTCGAGACCCGCGCGCGAGCCACTTCAGAGGATATATGGACAAATGTGAAGGGTGGGGATGAGGCATATTCTAGGAGCGGAAACCACCAATTAGAATGCGCAATTAGCGCAATCGAATCGAATTAAATTGAAAGAGCAATCAACAAGAATGACGGTCACATACACTTCAAGAAATATTGTCTTTTGTATTATAATGGAAATGGGTTCTGTCAGTATATGACAATGTGCAATATGAAACTACAACGAATTATACATATTTTATTTTGACATCAAATATCATAATTGCTATTAGAGCTGATAATGTAATTCGCTTTGCTACGATGCAATACCCCCTACCACTTGCACATTAAGCTCTCTGGCGGGCAGGCGGTTGGCTCGAGCAGAATGCCCGCGGGTCAGGCGTTTTGCAGACCTCACCTACACCATGAGCACCACAGCTAAAATTCACCTTCCCGACGATTAAAAAAGTCGAATATTTTCATTTACAATTTTCAGAAATTGAGATTTTTAATTTTACATTACTTCAAGACCTAGTTTTATAGAACATATGACATTAATGAAAAAAGTCTGTATCACAATATTATAATTTTGCAGTCTATTTTTTTTTCGAAAATACACAAGAGTTTGTTTTTTTAATGGGATCTGCATCATGTTTAAGCGTCGTTTCCTCTATACCAGGAAAATATTTAAAGAAAAAAATTGGAGCTGTTTTTGAGTAAACATTTCGTTATCAATTTAATGACCTTCAAGCAGAAATTGGGCTAATCTACAAGTTTTTATAATAAATGGTAGATGACTTCTTTAACAACCGAACTAGTTAGAACAGTTTCATTTTATCAAAAACCCTCCATCACCAATATTGTCCTTTTGCTGCGTTAATTATGAAATTTTCGAAACTGCAATGACTTCGCCTACATTCGGACTTGTACGTTTTTAAGTGCAAAATGCTTTATTTGGGGGGAAAATTTAAAGAAAATTGTTGGAGAGGCTTTTGAGAAAATCTTTTCTCAAGTTCAGTCTTTGAAGAACAGGTTTTGTTAAAAAAAATCGCCACTTTCAATATTATAGTTGCAGGAAGACCCGAATAATTTTGAACGTTTGCAATTTTCAAAACTTCGGAAATTTTAACGAAAAGTAGATCTGCGCTACTTTTTCAGTGTTTTCTACGCTATAGCTAACGAAGTTTAATTAAAACTTTAGGTGTCACAACACCACATACTTTCTCTCATTATTAGAAACAGTTACGTAATTCTGTAATATTGCAATTTCTGCCGTACTAACACCTCAGTTACAACTTGAAAAAATCAAATTCAACCAATTCAAACAGAGCACATGTGGTGAGTATCAGCATTATTTCGAAACAGAAGTTTACTATTTTAACAAATGAAACGAAGATGAATGTATTTAACTGTTAGAGTATCTGCGGCACATTATGAAGAAGAGCAATAATAATTTGCCACGAGCTTGCCTTGATTACATCGAAGTACGCATTAAATTTTTGAATACCATAATCAGCAATCAAAGTTCCTTTAAGTAAAATAAAAAAAAGAATATGTTAGTTCTAATATAAGTCTATTACATTCCTTAAATCTATTTCCTTTCATAAGAATATTATCTACATTGTACGATCAATGTGACCCGCAACAATGACAAAAATCGTAAGAATTTCCAAATGTCGCGATTCGTCGTGTTGTTAATTTGCGAAATGACAGTGTCAAACAAAGCGCAGGAAATTCGAATTAACATTTTCACTTTTTTTGAAATTTTCGAAAATACAGAGTGCCCCGAAAATGCGACCAACACCGCTTTCTTTGCCGTTATTTGGTACATACAAAGAAGAAATTTAAAGAAAAAAATTAGAGACTTTTTGGGAAAATAACTGCTTAAAATTTAAGAATTATCTTTGTTTCACGCAAAAATACTCATATTTTCGGAAAAATGAATATGATCTATTTCTGATACAGATTTCATTAAGGAAAAATATTATCATTAGTAATACCACGGGTACTTTGGAAATTGTCGATAAATCCCCGACTCGTAAAGTGAGGAGGGGTTTTATATGAGAATTTCCCAAGTATGTGTGGTATTTAGTATGAGCATTTATCGAATGAAATTTGAATTCGGGAAGCTGGTTCATTAATACTCGTTACATAAGTAAATCTGCTATGTTAACATACTTTTAATGATTTTAATTACTACTTTGATACCTGCATCCTGCATTACTTATGCAAGAATGTCTGCAGAGTTAAAATTAAAGAGATACTCTACAAGTAAGGATTAATACAGAACAAAAACTGGTGGTGCTACAGAGTGGCACAGAATTTCTCATTGTAATGTTTTTTTATTTCCTTGGTGTGGCTAGACTTACGGTTTTATCCCCACCCTTTTGGCGTCTGCCGTCTATCTATATAAAACAATTTTTGAAAGTCTATTCACATATGGAGCTGAGTTAATGCCAGGGATAGAAGTAGGATCCAAGGAGCAGAAAAGGAATATTCGAGACGATGTTGTCAGGTTACAAGAAAGGAAAGAGTTAAAAATCAAAGAATATTAGAAATAATGAAACTTGGAAAATCAACCATAGAGCTGATAGAAACAAAGGCTCTATTATGGTATGTGCATTTAAGAAGGTTGGACATCTGGGAGAGCGGCTGCCAAAGAAGATGTGGGAATACCACCCTGAAGAAAGCAGATATAGAGGAAGACCAAGAAGCAAGTGGGAGGAAAACGTAACATAAATAATTACAGGGCGAGATTTAGAAGATGATGCCTGGGGAGACCGAAAGAAAAGGAGATTCGGCAGCGAGAAACGGCGACAGCTGTAGAATACTCGCTTTACTACTACTACGAATGGAACACTGGGGTCTCACACACGCCATAAAATAATACACGATTAAGAGGTTCTGTATTTTTTTTAAATTTATTTTTCAATAAGATCAGCAGATGGTTGCTGCTTTACATTATTTTATTGACATGTTTAACTTATTATACTTTTTTCAGATGAACAAATTAAATAACAGAGGGGAAAATAGATTATAATATACAACAC